TTGCCACTGAACTTCCAGTGGGTGACCACATATTACCATTATAACGCACATTTTTAATTTATTAGAGTAAATAATATAAAGATACTAAAATTTTACTGTTTGTCCATTTTATCATATGACTTTCTTATATCTCTCACGTGTAAGGAAATAATCTACTAATCCTGCCATTTCATAGTGAAGAATTCAAAACTATTTTAGAGTTGAATTATGTAAAAAGAAAAAAGCAATTTAATCCAAAGGGAGGTAGCTGGTTGATATGCACACTATAACTCATGCTCAATAAAGGCTTTCCTTCTGAATTTCAAAATTGTTAAAACAAAGCACTCTTTGTATGTTATTTTTATGTAATGAGTCTTTGATTTAAAAGCTCTCCCCTTTTGGTCTTGGATGCTTTTCCATAAAAGTTATTCTAATGATCAAATTCATTACCGGCCCAGCACAGTGGCTCATGCCTATAATCCTAGCACTTTGGGAGGCCAAGGTAGAAGGATTGCTTGATGCTAAAAGTTTGAGACTAGCCTGGGCAACACAGTAAGACCCCATCTCTACAAAAAATTATTTTAAAAAATCAGGCAGGTGTGGTGACTTGTGCCTGTAGTCCCAGCTACTTGGGAGGCTGAGGCAGGAGGATTGCTTGAGCCCAGGAGTTTGAGGCTGCAGTGAGCTATGATTGCACGGCTGCACTCCAGCCTGGGTGACAGTGAGACCCTGTCTCCTAAAAAGAATATCCATTAAGACAAAACTAATTTATCTACAGGTGACAAGCCTCATTAGCTGATTGTGAATACACACAGCCCAAGAGATGCCCTAACATAACAGCCATGTGATAATAGCTAAAATTTATTGAGTTCTCAGCATGTGCCAACCCTGTGAAGTAGTTATTGTTATTCTGGGTTTATAGACACAGACACTGAGACGTAGAGGGGTTGAGTACCTTGCTGAAAGTCACCAGATAGCAAGTAACAGAGTCAAGCCTGACCCAGGCAGCAGGAAAACAACCACATTCCTAACAACCAGGCTGTGTCTCTGTAACATAAACAAATGTGATTTAAGTCTAGGGATGTTCTTGCCAGGCCCACACAGAGTGGCTTCCACACAAACTGTAATGGAAAACAACCAGCGTAGAACTTTCTCTTCTGACAGAATAGGCATATTTAAAAACCAACTTATTTGATTTACTTTTTCTTTTTGAAATTCACACACAGATATCAGACTCCTTTTATAGTACATTTAAGTATTAATATATTGCTTGGTCATGTGAGGCATTCAACTGCTCCTCTAAGCATGGTTTTTAGGAAACCATTACCTTTAATTTCAGAAGCCAAGTCCTCCTAACTGGAATTCAATATCACTTAATGGAATGCTACACACTAAACTTTTCTCTTTATTGCAGCTTTCCGTATAAAACAGTTACCTGAATCCGACCATGCAGTTTCGGTGTTTCACCTCCAACCTTTACCCTAAGCATGGTTTTCCAGGATAAGTTGCTTGAGAATTATATTTAGCACAAGAAAGGGTTTCCTGGCTAACTGGGACCATGAGGACCAACGTGTCAGGCAATCTGGAATTATTAATGTGGGAGTCCTACTAAAGCATCAGGTAACTTCGAACATTTTGCTTTCTTTCCAAGGAAAGGCCCACCATTATAATAGGAACGTTCCAGAAGCAGCAGGCCGCACTCACTGTCACTGCAGTTGTCCTCGTCACTCCCATCCTTACAGTCCTCGTCTCCGTCACACAGGAAAGTGCTGGGGATACACTGTCCGTTCCTGCATTCCACCAGCCCCTGGCTGTGACAGGCTAGGAAAGACCAGAATGACAGTCACTCTATCAACTCTTCTTGCAGCCTGCACGTCACATAAACCATACCTGTTTACCAGCCACCCCCAAGAAATAAAGTGTTCTATTCAATCATTTTTGTTTTTCCCTGCTAGGTATACTGTATTTTTAGGGGGGAAAAAAAGAGTTAATAGCCATACTTGTTATTAATTTGGTATTCACTCAGAAACAAAACCCACTATAAAATTATAATTATTATCACACACTGCCTCTGTAGCTGTATGAACATTAAAGGCTCTCTTCTCTCCGGCAATTCTCCCCATGTACTCCCGCAGATGGTCCCTGAGAACATAGCTGGAGGCTCCTACAGGGAAGCTCAGCTACTCGCATATTGTTTCCAGAAGAAAGGCCCCCAGTCTCTGGAAAGAGTATCACCTCCGACGAAGTTACAGAAGCATTAAGGAGACACATGGAGCCATGAGAGAGAAAACAGACACCCACGTGGCCAGATCGGCCAAATTAAGCTTGGAGTTTTGGGGAGAGGGGTGTGGAAGGCAGACACACTCGTTGTTGCCGCCTTCACACCACCCAGTTAGGCTAGAACCAAAGTATAAGAATCTCTCCCTCGGAATGCTGTTTAGAAAGTGAATCTTAAATGTAGTCCTCAACCCTATGGCCGGCCTAACAAAATAAGCAAAACGAAAATCCTCAGGGTACTCACAGCAGTTGACCTCGTCGGACTTATCCACACAGTCATGGTCACCGTCACAGACCCATTCCACGGCGATGCAGCGCCCGTCCCCGCAGCGGTGTTCCTTCGTGGGATTGCAATCTGGGGAGAACAAGAGACTCATGAGGATGCAGAGAGCCGGCACGACAACCCCGCAGGAGAGCATGGCGCCCAGCCCCAGGGCCGGGCCGGTTCCAATTGTTCCGGTACCTCCAGTGACATTTCTATGATGGGTCTTGGCACAATTAAAGTGCTGCCTTCTCTGTTCACATGACAAAGTGCAAAAACAAATAACAAAAATGCCACTTCCTACCACAGTCTGTGCCCCACTGAGCACCATCACCACGGGGCGAGACACGTCTGTTTTCCAGGTGAAAAACTCTACACGGCTCTCCCAGGACCCATCGCATGTTCCATTGTTGTTTTCTTTCATTTTCTTTAGTCTTTGTTTACTTTCCTCATGAAAAATTCATGATTTCTACACTAACTCAAACGTAACTGAGATTCGTGTTTCACAATGTATACAGCTGATCTGGTGATGTATCTGCGACAGCTCTTTTGTGTTTCTAAGAATCGTAACTTACCTCTCTCTGGCAAACTGGGAAGGGCAGCATCTCCTTATGTCATCTCTCCTGATGCTGAGCTTAAGTTTTTTATTGAGCTATCTTAATATATACCTCATATTGGAAAGAACTGCTGGGTAAGCAGTGCAGTGAGCTGCAAGTTCTTGATTATAGATTTCTGTGATTTTCAATCAAAACCATTAGGGACACGGCGCTACTTACCACAGTTTTGCTCGTCGCTCAGGTCCCCACAGTCGTCATATCCGTCACACACGAGGCTGGGATTAAGGCACTTGCCTGTGTGACACTGAAACAGATTCTCACTGCAGTCTGCAAATAGGAGAAGCCACCAATGTGTCATCGGAACAGCACAGAGTGTCACAGTAGCACCTTGTCTAATAAAAGCCTGTCGTGGAAGGGAAACCGTAACGGTAACCTGGCCCACACCTGTTTGACAGGTGAGGAGACTGGCACGGAGAGATCCAATGGCTTGCTCAAGGTCACCTAACAAGTACTGTGCAGCCAGGACTAGGACCTTCTGGCTCCCAAGCCAATTGCTTTGAGCACTTGCTGAACATTTTTCTCTGATTTCCACTTTATGCCGCCTGAAAGCTCCCTGATAGTCAAAGATAGAAAAGACATTTCTCAATTCATCATACTAAGAGTTCCTAAGCAAATTCCTGTTCACACAGAACAAATAACCTCCATAGGGGGTGAGTGGTTCTTTCCTAAAAATGTTTCCTTTAGAGCGGAAGCCTAGTTTTGTCAATGGTAAGCATAAATATATAATGGAGACAATAAGTCATTTAGATTATAGAGTTGTTTCCTTTCATGTAAATTTTATTGCTTAAGTTAATTGAATGTTTCATAACAAGATCCTCAAATAGACACGTACTGTCCTAAGGTTATGATAGCAAGATGCGAATAAATGAGGTCATCTCAGGAAGCTTATAGTTTCATGTTGAACTAAACAATATGCAGGGACACAGTTTCTCAATTTTAATAAGATACGGTCTTGAACATGGGTAAAGCAGAACTACTATGCTGGTTCTGCCATCAAGTAGCTGTGGGACTTCTAGTGCGTTCGTCCAACTCTAGGAGTCTGTGAACTGATTTATGGAATTGTGGTAAAATCAGCCACTTAATAGGGTTTGAGAGAAGAATTTAATAAAATAATGTGTGTAAGATGCCAAGACAATTCCACAGGAAAAGAATGTTCTTTTCAATAAATGGTGTTGGGATGATTAGAATATTAAATATGCAAAAACCAATCTCTCACCTTCACCTCAAATCATACACAAAAATTAATTCAAAATGGGCCACAGACTTAAATGTAAGTGTGAAAATTATGAAACTTCTAGATGAAAATATAGGGAAAAAAATCTTTGTGACCTTGGGTTATGCAAAGAATTCTTATATATGACACCAAAAGCACAATAAAAATATTAATAAATGAGCTTCATGAAAATTAAAAATATTTGATTCAAAAGATATTAAGAAAATGAAAAGGCACATACTGAAAAAAATATTTGCAAATCATATGTATCATAAAAGACTTATACTGGAGTACATATAGAACTTTTACACTCAATAATAAAACACCAAACAACTCAATTACAAATATTCATCAATAGAAAGTCTTTGTGGGAGACATACCAATGACTAATAAGCACATGAAAAGGTCTTCAACGTGATTAGTCATTAAGGAAAGGCAAATTAAAACCACAAGAAGATACTACTACACATCCCCTAAAGTAGCTACAATTAAAAAGATGGATAATACCAAGTTTTGCAAGGATTTTGGGAAACTGAAACTCTTATGTATCTCTGGTGAGAATATAAAATAGTAATGCCACTTTGGAAAACAGTTTAGCAGCTTCTTATGAAGGTAACTATGAACCTTACCATTCAATTAATTAAAGAATTCCACTCTTAGGGATCCACCCAAGAGAAGTTAAGCGTATATCAACTCAAAGATTTGTATATGGATGTTTACAGCAGCATTATTCATAATAGCCAAAAACTGGAAAAACTGTAAACACTCACCAACTGGTAAATGAAACAAAATGTAATATAGCCATACAATGGAATACTATCCAATAATTAAAAGGATCCAATACTGATATATATGACAGTACTGATGAATCTCAAAAATGTTATGCTAAGTGAAAGAAACCAGATACAAAGACTACATATTATACGACCCATTTATGAATTTCCTTGAAAAAGCACATTTATAGAGACAGAAATCAGAGCAGTGGTTACTCTTGGCTGGAGGGTTGGGATTGGGGATTGATTGCAAATGTGTGGAAGGGAAATTCTGGGGAAAATGCAAAAGTTCAAGAACTGGATTGTGGTGATGTTTGCACCATTCTATAAAGTTGCTAAAAATCAATAGGTAAAATTTATGGTTTGTAACTTATACCTTAATAAAGCTATAAAAATGATTAAAATTAATATATGTCAAGAGACCTGCATTTAATAGAAACTAGATGTCTTAAATATGTTATCTTTTATCCCTTACTTAAAGTAATTTAAGTGCAAAAATTAGGCTGCTTACAGTGGAGAAGGATTGTGGAAGATGGACAGGATTTCAGGAGGGTGGATGTAATGAAAAGTTCAGCATGTTTCATGGAGAGGAAATAGCAAGGACAAAGGAAAGAGGTGGAAAATGGGGGCACATTTGAAGGTCTGCTTTGGTTGATGAGGACCAGAAATCCAGTGATCAATAGTCCAGTCTCCTGACTTCCAGCTGACTGTTCCTCCTCAAGCAGAAGTCTGTATCTCATGCAACTGGTGGTGGACACCTCTTTACTATAAACATCCCACACTTGGTGACCATTCATTATCAAAAGTCTTTGGCATTGATCAGTTAAACTGTTAGCCACATCAAAATATCATACTTCTATATACATGAATCATAAATTTCTATTTCAGGAAAGCAATCTTCTAAAAAGAAAAAAAAAACCTTAAAAACTTAGACTCACATCATTTCAGGAGTGGCATGGGCCCTAGAGACCACCTAATTCGAGGTCTTCATTAAGAAGGTGTGTATGTGTACAGACACAAACACACACACAAGCGTACGCATATCCTCACACTTACACAAATGCGGAACTTTGCAAGTACTTTTTGTTTTTTTACTCCCTCCAGTCGGAATAATTCTTGAATGGGGACAACCATCTTAAGGGAAAATATGACAACTATTAGCAAGAAGAGGTCCCAGTTATCACCTTGACAGCACTATTTTCTTCCATTCAGCAGAGGGCGCTATCTCCCCACCCTGCACCCCACCGCTGATCACCGAACACAGTGCCTGAGTCTGAGAGAGACTCTGCCTTCAGGTGTCCTGAGGGCAGACTTGGGGAATTCGTGCATCAAGATATATACATTTCCTTGCGAAATTTAAAAAGTCTTTTTGATTTTTGTTTTAATATAAATTACTCTTGTGGGAAGTTTTGAATCAGTATGTTAGAATCAGCAATAACGAGGGGAAAAGGCTTCTCACCTTGACCATGGAGGGGGAGTGGAGAATGCCTCTGCAGATTTTAAACTATGTGAGTTAATTTCTTTTTACGCAGTACGCATTGTTTTGTTTTGTTTTTTTTTTTTTTTGATGGACTCCTGAGGAATCAAATACTCCTTTCAGAATCTGATTAACCTGAGATCACACCAAAAACTTCCAAAGGTTTATGTGTCCTCTGGGAGACCCATTCTGGACCCCTGGCAATTCACACTGAAATATTTCATTGGCGATATTTTAAAATTTGATATCCTCACTTATTAAACTGTTTGATAAATGGAGAGGACTCAGATTTTTTTTTAAATCCTCATTATTCACACAGGTGCAGAGTCCAACTTTCCACTGTTATGACTTGCCTGGTTAGAGCCATTTTCAGAAGTGAGATACAAAATTAGCTGCGTTTGGAAAACAACTTGTTGCTTTCCTAAGGTCTGTGTAATTAGTAAATACACAAAACCTTAACCAGAGGCATTGCACAGCCAGAAACACATAGCAAATAGCAAAGATCACAGTGTCTCCTTTTATTGGAATTAATGTTTATCTAAACTGAAAAGAGATGTTGTCAGCTCAATTTGGGGCCAAGAAATCAAAATTTTGAAAAGCCGTTTGCTGCAATTTTTTTGCTCAGTACAAGCAAAATTTTGCATGACCTTAAGGTAGGTGTTTTTCCAGATACAGCTTTTCATTTTCTTAAGGAGAGCTTGATACAAAAATGTTTCTTCTGAAGTTCCTGCGTGTTAATATTTATTTTAGTTTGGTATCTCATATACATAGTATTAACTTTCGTCCCTCAAAATTGTCATGAAGTTAAAGCAGAAAGCTAAGAAACAGAAAGCTTTTGTTTATCAACGGCTTCCTTCAATTTGCTCAGTCTCTATAACACAAATGTGCTGCCTCAACTCAAGATGCAAGTACGGATGCTCAGTTCTCACCCATAGAATGTTAAAGATGGAAAGGACCGAAGATCATTGAATCAGACCCTCTCACTTTGAGATGACCAAGGTGTTAAATGGTCTGTCCACCATTGCTCAGCTCTTTAACAGCAAGAGCTGTGAGTCAATAACCAGGCTTATTGCCTCCCTTGGTTCTTTCTACTATTGGCGTCTAGCTCTAGAGGAGGGTTTCTCAACTGCAGTACTATTGACCTTTTGGACTGAGTAATTCTTTGCTGTTGGCGGCTGCCCCGTGCACTGAAGTATGTTTGGCAGCATCTCTGGCCTCTACCCACTAGATGCCAGTAGCGCCTCCCCCAGCCCCACCATTGTGAAAATAAAAAATGTCTCCATGCATTGCAAAATGTCACTAGATAGTTGAAAACTACTGTTCTAGAGTATACAATCATCACAAGAGTGCAAGGCCTAGCTTTAATTCCATCTTTTCCATCATCTCTCTTCACACCAACCCAGCTGCTAGTAATCCTACTCTTCACTTGAAGAACTCACTGCTGCTACTTTTTTGTGTGTGGGACATATACAAAATGGAGTACTACATAGCCATCAAAAAGACTGAAATCCTGTCATTTGCAACAACATGGGTGGTAATGGAGAACATTATGTTAAGTGAAGTAAGCCAAGCACAGAAACACAAATCTTACATGTTCTCACTCACATGTGGGAGCTAACTATTGCATCAATTTTGTTTGGCTTTGTGACATCTCTCGTGTTATATTGTTAATGGCCAACAAACATAGGAAAAAATGCTCAACATCTCTAATCATCAGGGAAATGCAAATCAAAACCACAATGAGATATCACTTAACTCGAGTGGAATGGTCTTTATCAAAAAGTCCCAAAACAATAAATGTTGGCATGGATGCAGAGAGATAGGAACACTCATACACTGCTGGTGGGACTGCAAGCTAGTACAACCTCTGTGGAAAGCAATATGGAGATACCCCAAAGAGCTACAAGTAGAACTACAATTTGACCCAGCAATCCCATTACTGGGCATCTACTCAAAGGAAAAAAAGACATTTTATAAAAAGGACATCTGCACTAGAATGCTTATAGCAGCACAATTCACAATTGCAAAGATGTGGAAACAACCCAAGTGTCCATCAATACATGAGTGGGTTAATAAAATGTGGTATATGTATACCATGGAGCTCTACTCAGCCACAAAAAACAACGGTGATCTAGCATCTCCTGTATTATCCTGGACGGAGCTGGAGCCCATTCTACTAAGTGAAATATCACCAGAATGGAAAAGCAAGCACCACATGTTCTCACCATCAAATTGGTATTAATTGATCAACACTTACGTGCACATATAGTAGTAATATTCATCGGGTGTTGGGCAGGTGGGGAAGGAGGGGATGGGTATATTCACATCTAATGGGTGCGGTGCGCACCATCTGGGGGATGGACACGCTTGAAGCTCTGACTCGGGTGGGGCAAAGGCAATATATGTAAGCTAAATATTTGTACCCCTGTAATATGCTGAAATTAAAAAAGTACAATTATATCCCAACATTAGGGTGACCATAAAAAAAAAAAAATAAAAGAGGCTTTGTAGTTACTGTGTTATTGATGTTAAAAATCATTAGGGTGAAAATTTTTCCTCTGAAAATATCCTGTTTAAAAAACACTGACCTTTATACTCATAAAGCTTTCAAAACAAAAACAAAAATCCTCACCCAAACAAAATAAACCAAAAGCCTTCTCCCGATTTTAGGGCACTTCACGCTGAAACACTTCAATCCCTGATCTGTTCCAGTGCAGATCTGTGTTCAGCTCCTAACAAGCCAGGCCTTTGAAAGGCGTGCAAACACGCAGCTGTCACCCGCGGGCAAGATAAACACGTTTGCTCACTTTGGAAGGGCAAACCAAAAGCAGTCTACGCAAACTCCGGGTGGTTGTCGGGATTTCACAACGAAATAGTTCTGGTTTCTAGGCCCCTGAATGGAACCCCCGTCCACCCAGACGAACCCCAAACAGCCGGTCACGTACTGCAACGAGCCTCATCGCTCCAGTCGTCACAGTCATTGTAGCCGTTGCACTGCAGTTTCCTGGGGACGCAGAGCCCGCTGGCACACAGAAAGCTGTCACCCCCTCCACAGAGCACTGGGGAAAAAAGGGCATAAAAACAGTATCAGAATAAGGTTGTTTTTTTCTTTTATCATTAGGACAAAGAAGTAAGCATTAGGAAACCTTCGTTGCTATTTGACAGATTTGCTTCCAAATTTCCAGTTTCATAGTCACCAATTTTTCTTCAGCATTTTAGAGCGTTAATCGTGAAATTACCTAGGAATGATACAAAGAGCGCTTATGTGAGAACAGAAGGAAATTCTCCAGGGGCTTGCAGAGTGAAGCGTCAGTGATCAGAGCACAAGAGCAGCCTCATCGATTGCACCATTTTCCATAAATTTCCCCACTTACACATACCCAACGGGAATATTTTTCTTAACAATTGAAAATCACGTCAAAGTAAAGTGCTATTAATTGAACAAACATAAAAATAAGTCTCTCCTTCTAAAATGCTATAATACTCTATAGAACAGGGAAAGTTACAGTAAAAAATAGAATCAACCAATTGATGTGTGCTGGAACACAAGTATACAGACCCGGTGTCCTGTATCTGACATGTATTTACTCGCCTAAATGAAAATGTCAGAGTCTATTTTGGCATAAAGAATCTGAAATGACATTAGCTAATAAAATTTTCATTTTTTTTTTCCTTAGCACAGTTACATTTAGGTATTTTTTGCTTTTAGTATTTTGGTGTTCTTTTCCTTCTCAAAATTCAACAAATATTCAATTGCTTCAAAATTATAGTAGGCAATAAAGAGAGAAGCAAGAAGGAGGCAAAGCAGGAGAGAGGGCTGAGCCGCGGTAGGGCTCTGCAGGCCCGTGAGACGGCTCTGAAACTTTAACAAAGAAGAGTCAGAGTCGTTACAACACTTTGAGTACAGAGTGGCATGATCTGACTTAAGCTCTTAAAGGATCGCTCTGCCTATCGTGCTGGAAACAGGGACAAGCGAAGAAGTCGGGACACCAGTCAGGAGGCTAATTATTGAAATAATGCAACAAGAGACGATGGAGGATTGGAGCTTGCAGCAGGGAGGTGCCAAGATGTGACGGATGCTGGAGGTACAGTCATGTACCACATAATGACGTTTGGTCAACAATGGACCGCATGTATGATGGTGATCCCCTAAGATTACAAACCCATATTTTTACTGTGCCTTTTCTATGTTTAGGTATGTTTAGCTACACAAATACTTACCACTGTGTTGCAACTGCCTACAGCATTCAGTACAGTAACATGCTGTACAGGTTTACAGCCCCGAAGCCATAGGCCATACCAGGTAGCCCAGGTGGGTAATGAGCCACAACACCCCGGTGTGTGCAAACGCACTCCATGATGTTTGCACAATGACGAAAGCACCCAACTCCGCATTTTTCAGAACGTATCGTGTCATTAGGCAACGATGAATGTACGAAGTTCTGACTACAGGTTGGCTCAGGTCAAATACACAATGACCACTTTTGAAGATACAGGAGCTTGGAAAATTGCAAAATTTCCATTGAAAATCAAAAATCATGATCAAGAATAAATTTACAATCTAAAAAGGAAATCAATCTATGTCTCTCTGTTCCTCTAATTCCATCATGAAAATGTGGCTTCTCCAGAAGTATCTTATCTTCTAAGCTGAGAAATGCTTCGCACTCTGTTTTTAGACATCTGTTAAACACAGGGCACTATGCTAGTCACTGCTAACAGCACTGACGCCCATCAGAACGACAGTCTGCTAAAAAAAAAAAAAAAAAACCAAAACCTATTTCATTCTGGCTCACATAATTTACATTAGCAAAAGATACTAATTTGTTTGCCTACTGTCTTTCTCTCTCCCTTCTAGAATGTAATCTCCTTGAGGGAAGGCACTTCATCAGTTTTTCTTACTGCTGTGCACGAGTCTAGAACAGAACTGAGACGTGATAGAAGCAAATCAAATACCTACTGAATGACTAAATGAAGACTGAGAACGTGAGGAGTCTATACGGCAGGACTACACATTGTTCTTATTTCCTGACCTTCCATATTCAAAGGCAATAAGTATCTTACAATTTTATTCTTTTCCTGGCTAAGGGAATAAACTGCTGTTGCAACATAAAAATCCCTCCGTGTTATAGTGGGATGTTCACTCAAACCTGCAGATAGACACGTCTGGTTTCTGAGCAGGATTTGCTCTTATGGTAGGACAATGAGTAAAAAAGGCATTTCTACCAAAAATAATCTTCCCCACCAGCCCGTGATGATGTGTCTAATATTCCAACCCTGATGCTTACACCACATTACCCATACTTTGGGTTAAAATGGTACATTTTAGAAGAACTCTAGGATACCAAGCCAAGGGACTTGGGGGCCACAGCCTGGGTTAAAGGGGTGTGTTCGGTTCCCCACCCCATTTCAACCAGAGAGCTTTACTGTTGTCTGCTTTATGTTAAATACGTTTGAGTCCTTGAAAAATTTCCTTTGAAAACGGACTTTTGCCATCAAAAACGAGTTTGAAAACCCCTTCGCCATTAAGGTTTTAAACGTTCAG